CGGGCGCGCGGCAGCTCCCGGGCTCCCTCTCCAGCAGCCCGCTGTCACTAGCGTCGCGGCGCCTTTGCTGTGGCTTTATGAAGCTCTCTGGATCCCCCCACACACACCCGCCACCTCGCCCCGCCCCGCCTCACCCCGCCCCCTCGTGGCTACTATTTGGCAAATTCTTTTCGGGAGGCAAGGACTGGAGGGCCCCCAAAGTGTAGACAGCAAGTCCCCGCGTCTTGTTCGCGCTTAAAGACTTTGCCTTCTGGGAGAACCAACCCCTCCACCTGAAACGCCAACCTGTTTCTCTTCCCTGGACCCTCGTGGAAATTCCACCCACCTTTGAAGGCTCAGCTCAAAGCCCTCCTCCTACAGGAAGCCCTCAGTGATGGCCCAGATGGGACTCAAGGGGCCTTCTCACAGCACTTGCAGGCTCAGAGCCACTTCGATCATGAGCATTCATCAGATATTCATGGATGGCCACTATGTGCTCAGACTCCAAGTGACTTTGCATGAAGTGTGTGTGCTCTTTCTCCTGGCCAGGGGCCCAGGTGGGCTGTGTGGGATGCGTCTTGTTCCTTTAGACTCAGGGCAGACCTGAAACCTGATGGGCAGCAGGACAACTCCTTGAAAGGGATTGCATCCACAACAGCCTCAGGCTTAGAAGGCCCTGGGCTGGGATGGACCCACAAACGCTCCTCCACCTGAGCATGGCACCAGGGACACTGGAAGTGGCACTGGGTTGCCAGTGCTCAGAGTCTCAGAACTGGCTCTGCCTGTCACTCAGGGGAGGGCAAGTCACTTCCCTTGACTGAAAGTCAGCCTCAAGTGCCTCATCCATAGACTAGGGAAAACTGATCTACTTTTCAGAGGGGCTGTGAGCCTTACTTGAGAGGAGGTACCTGTGCAACCCCTTCCAATCTAGTATTATACCCGGATGGAAAAACTGCTTTGAACAGATTCAGAGCTGGCGGACAGGAAGGAAACCCACCACATATTCTGAAGAGTTACTTGGGTGATAGGAATATGGGGGCTTTTTTGTCTCTGTTTTCCCTTTTCTGTTGACTAATGTAGTTATAGTCCTTTTATGATGAAAACTATCCTTTCTCCCCCAATTGAAAATAGTATCACTGGGAGTTTTCCTGTGTAAAACATATAGAAAACATAAGCAGTAAAGGCAAAATCAGGACTGTATAAATCACCCCAAATTTAGGATTAAAATTTCGATGAACACCCTTCTAGACGTCATTCCCTGCACACAGCCTCTCTGTCTCTGTCTTTTACACACACACACACACATAAACACATGCACACACAAATATGTAATTTTATATAAAGACCACACGTGCTGCTTTATAATGTGTTTTTCTTTTTCACTCAACAAGGTGTCATGAAATTTTTTTGCATATCAATATATACAAAAAGGTTTACATTTTAAAATAGTATTTTGAAAAAGACTCATCTTTTAAAGGCTAACATCTCCTCACTCCTACCTCCCCAGCCCTTCTCAATTCTCCTCTGGGGGCTGCCCCATCTCTACATCTCTGTCCCAGCCCAACAGGGCTTCACCCTTAGGGGTCTATGGGGACTCTCTGCTCCCAACTAGAGCTGAACCGAGAGGCAGGTTGGCAGGCGAAGGTGAAGCTGGGGACCCCAGGGGGCGGGCATGACCCAGGGAGGGTGGGGGTGGAGGAAATCAGCACATCTCCTGAGGATGGAGACCAGATAAGTAATAGCACCAGAAGCGAGGACAGGTCTCCTCCCACCCCTTTCTTTCCCCACCATTTCCCCATGCCTTAAGGAAGGCAGAAGTTTCTGCCTGCTGTTTCAGGCAGCATTGGGACCCTTGGCTACTTTTTGGGAAACATTCGAGATTTCAGTAAGACTTCCCTGAATGACTGATTTCCCCAGGAGATATGAGACTGTTGAATGCTGACACCTCTTCGGGGGGTACATTTTTGCTAAGTGCTTGGCTGTGGAAGGCCAAATGGGTCTGATTCCTCCATAGCTCTCCCGCTCCTCTTTTCCACACTAATCTTCAGGTCAAGCGATCCATCCTTCTGCCTCTCAGCAGGACGACCCCGAGCTCCCGCCCAGCTTTCTGGAGCAGGCGGGATTAAGAATCTCAGAATCAGGTAGACCTGGGGACGTGTCCCAGGGGAAGAGGTGGCTAAGGATAGTCTCTGATGGGCTGCTAAGAGGGTCTTATAGCCTGGCTCATCAGCCCCAGATTCCTCACCCCTCTCCCTCCAATTTTTTTCACCCAAAAAAAAGTGCTTGTGAAAAGCGGGGGGCCGAGTGGCCCTGGTGTCACCACTGCCAGTTCCGCCTCTCTGCCAGCTTGGGTGAGAAGAAGAGCCCTGGCAGTGACACCTCCTCCTCCTCCTCCTGCCACTTCACCTCTTCCCAGGCCCAGGGCCAGAGAGGTGGAAAGGAGGAGCAGGAAATGAGGAACCCTGGGATCCCCTCACCTCCCTATTACTGCCTCTCCAGCCTCTCTCTCATCCTATCAACCCACTGAGCATCCAGATGGCTGGTCCTAGGGACAGGAGCAAAGATGCACAGGGTGTGCGTCCAGGATGGGAGAGTCACGGTCTCCAAAAGACATCAAATTATTGACACAGGTGGATAGTAAATATGGGAAACTGAATGATATACCAAACTCACACACCGCATTTGTGACAGAGCCAGGCTGGAACTCTGGTCTTTTGACTCTTGTCCCAGTGCTCTTCCCACAAGAGTGTTTGCCTTCCTGTCTTGAGGAAGAATAATAATAATAAATGAAAAGTTATGATCATATCAGAAAAGGTTTGGGAAACAGAAAATTGCCCCTAACCCACCAACCAGCCTGGACACCAGTTTTCTTTACCCTGTTGTCCTCTGCACGTATTCAAGGCTTCTTTTCAAGCCGTTTTCACATCAAGACTCAAAATGATGTCACACACCTGTGGGCTGCAGACTGTGCTAGGAAGCTGTTACAATGTGGATTCCTGGGACCAGCCTCTAGAGATTTTGATCTCCAGGCGTGTGGCAGGTCCCCAGAATCTGTGTCTTGAAGGACTCCAGATGAGGCTGGACCCCAGGAAGTCCACACATCCTACTCTCAGGACCCTCCCAGTTTGCTCTTCCACCTCCAAGACCTGTCCCATCATAAGATCGTCATTGTGTCCTGAGCTTGCTTGCTGTGTGCTCCTCAGGGCAGAGAAGGAGGTTTAGTGTCTGAGGAAAGCGGCTACAGGCATTGAAAAGACTTTCTTAACGAAGCTTTAGGGTCAGACAATTCCTCACCCCAGCATCTAATGGCCACCTGGGTCCTCTCCTTAAAATGTGTGGAGTGCTGAGCTCCACCAGGGACCCAAAAGGCTCTTGAAAAGGCTCATATCGCATGCTGTGGGGAGGGCTGAGTGGCAAGTACGTGGGGGAGTCAGGGGGTGGACAGCTTGGAGCACAGGGGTACCAGCACCCAGGATTTCCGCCCTCTACCCTGCTGGGCACAGCCTGAGTGGCTGTAAGAGGGTAGATGAGTGAAAGAGATGGGGGTAGCATGTTGGGGATGTGGCAGGAAAGGAACACGAGCACAATGAGAGACCTGGGATGCATTTCTGAAAGAGAGATTTAGAGGTGGAGAGGGACAGGGACCACAAAGTCAGCAACCCAGAACATGACTCAGTGAGAAAGTTTCAGCCAGGCAAAAGAGGGAAGGGAGACTAGAGGGAGTTGAGCCAGTGAGAGGGAGGTCTACGGAGGCAGGGACACCTTGGGGGCCTGTGGCTTTCAGGTTGGGGCAGAGGGAAATGGTGGCTGGCTTGGAAGCCCAATTCTAACTCTCACTGGCTTGTTCAGGTATCTTTTTTTGGGGGGGGGGATCAAACCATTTTATTGAGAGCCTTCGGGGGCGGGGGGCGTCGAAGGGCTGGGGGTACGATGAGATCCGAAGTCTTCGGCCGGTGAGGATCTCTTCAGTTTCACAGCCGCCGAAAGTGTTCAGGTATCTTTTAAATTTTTAATTTGTCTTTTAATTGGGGAACAGTGTGTTTTTCCAGGACTCATCAGCTCCAAGTCAAGTAGTTGTTTCAATCTAGTTGTGGAGGGCGCATCTCAGTGGCCCATGTGGGGATCAAACCAGCAACCTTGGTGTTATGAGCACTGTGCTCTAACCAACTGAGCTAACCGGCCGCCCCCTGTTCAGCATCTTAACATTTCTGGTTTCCTTGTCAGTAAATGGAGCTAACAGACCTTCTGCCAGGACAAACTGGGTCTCAAGTAATGTGTGAGGTAGTGTAAAGGCTAAGGGGTTCTGTGGCAAGGCAGGAACAGAGCAGAGGAACAGGCTGGGCTGAACTGCCTCCTTTTTCCTCTCCTGCAAGCTGCTTGCATCTTCCCATCCCTCCCTTTGGCATCCATTGGTCCCCACAAAGTGTCCTTCAAATCCAGCCTCCAGCTTTCACGAAGGGCCTTGGCCCAAAAGAGAACCTGTTTGTAAGACTCTCCGTCTCAGAAAGGACTGGCTTCCCCTCCTAACGCCTATACACCATTCCTGGAGACTCATGTAATGAGGACTGGGATGGGCCAGACCCTGGGGACTCTGGGATCACAGACATAAATTAGTCTTAGCCCCTGCCCCCTAAGAGCTCCTAGCAAGGTGACCCTAAGGGCTGGAGTTCTCACGCCCCTCAGCCCATTTGTCCCTCAGGTACAGACACCAGCCTGTGCATGTACAATATCACCCAAGCGTGCGCGCACATACCCTACACAGAGCTTTGCTAGACAAATCCCTGTGGTCCGTACCCTCTTCTCCTGTCCCACATCCAGCCTCTGAGGTCCTTGGGCATCTGCTTAGCTCACTTCCACCCACTCTGAACTTC